GCCAAGTGTGTTAAATGAGTTAGGCCTCAACCTGAGATCTGGCAGGTCAAGAGAAAAAGATGTTGGGTAAATCGGGTGGAAGGATGTTTATTGTGAGTCAGGCCAAAGAGGTTGACCAGATTCCTCTCCAGAAATCCCATCCAGCAAAGATGCTGGGGCTGCTTGTTGCAGGAAAGCTACAGAAAATGTTGCACACCAGAGATGGGTCGAGTGTGGTTTGCAGGAGCAGCACACATAAAACGCACAAAGGGGTTCAGTCACACCAATGCAGTTGCCCTCTTGACTTTGTCGGCCTTGTTAGAGACAGCTGCCTTTTGTCAGGGCTGGCTGGGACGCCCTTCCTTCAGCCTGGCCACAGGGCAGATATTGCAAAATCCTCCCAATGCAAAAAGGGTAGAATCAGTAACATAAATTATTTACAAGTTTTATCGGACTTTGGGTCAAACCCGAGTCGTCCTATTCTGGCAGTAATCCCCAATTTCTCCTTACATTCTGCTCACCGATAAGGAGTGTTACACAACTTGCACTCTTGCAAAGTTTTATTATCTAGCATCAAGGTTTCAGCAGGAGATCCCCAGCAAGATTTAAGATGGATTAGGGACAGGCATATTTGCATGGGATGCATTTTCATTATCTTTTTATTTCTGTTTTATTTGCTGACTAAAGGTGGTAGTAAATTACAACAGAAATTTCCTGCCTCTGGATGCAGATCACAGAGATAGCAGCAGCGTGTACCTGTGCCTGTGATCGTATATGCAACGTACAGTATGTGCACCACAACGCCTGTGGGTATATGCATCTCTGTCCTCCATCTACCACCTAGGAGAGGACACCTCCTACATGTGGCACTGCAGAAGCAGCTCTGCACATCTCCTGCACATTCCCTCCCTCCTCTGCTGGTCTTTCCCCAACGGTTAGATAATCTTTGGCGACTGGGAAGCCGGGCTGAGTTGGAGCAGGTTCTCCGCAGGATAGCTATTTCCAGAAGCTGTAAACGCTTCAGCATTCAGTTGCTGCGATCCCCTTCTTGGCAGCGGCCTTTGTGTGTGTGTGGGGGGGGGACACAGAGAGAAAATCCTCCAAGCAGGAGATCCCCTGCAGAGACACCCACGCCCTGCCCCTGAGTGGCTGGGGAGTCCCCGGCTTCAGGGATATTGGGGTGGCTTTCCAAGGAGGGGCAGGGAAAGCCAGCGTCCCACGGAGCTCTTGGCAGCTGCCAGGAGCCTGGCAGGGCTTGAAAGGAGGGACAGAGGAATGCAAAGGCCCAGCAAAAGCTCTCCAGCCCAAGACAAAAGGGAAAGTTTTCACAATGAATTCACGGCAGGCAATCAGGAGGCCAAGCTGGAGCACGTCAAGGGCAACCATGCTTTGCCATGGCAACCCAAACCCCGGGTTTTCTTTCCTTGGCACCACAGAATTCTCTCACCCAGCCCCTTTTTCAGGAATAGACTTGGGGCCGTTCTCATCTTTGGGTGCCCAGCTGATGCTCTGTCACAAGCAGCATTTTGATGCAAGGATTCTCCAAGGAAGGCTGAGGTAGCTGAATGAACAGGGCAGACCACCCCCCCCCAAGACCTGGGATGATTTTGTCTCTGGGGAAATACATATTTTAGGCTCCCCCCCTTCACCAATATTGCCCTTCCCAAACTTGGCAAGTGGGATCCAAGGCTCTTTGGTTGCCATGGACACCTGAGCTCCATTAAGCCGGGGGGGGGTTCAAGTTCTGTCCCCCCCAGGGAAGCAGTGGGGCAAGGAGGCAAATACTGTTTTGCCCCATAAAATATGGAGAAGTGAAGAAAGATTCGGGCATCTTGCTTTCAAATTGGCATTAGCAATAAAGAAATATTTGCAGCTCGGGGTTGAACTGTGGGGTCCTTGGTGCTCTCTGAAGTTGGTCGTTTTCTCGGTGATCCTTACCAATTAGGTAACATCATCAATGCACTAATTAATATCAACAGCACTGAAGATGTTACCTAGTTGGGTAAATGAAACATCTGCAAGAAAACAATCAAGCTCAGAGAGCAGCAAGGATCCCACAAAATGGCAGTTACTTTGCAGCTGGAGAAATCAATCACGGCAGTTTCTATTTCAGCTCCTGGGTCAGCTTCAGCCTGCGTTTTCTTTTTTTTTGGGGGGGGGGGGAATGCCTTTTGCAAGAGAACCCCTGCTATGCATGCAAGAGAGCCCCAGTGCAGCTCCATCGTTGCTCCTAGAGAGGATCTTGGTGGAGCTAGAAGAGCTGCTCTCTGGCACAGCTACAGCTTACTTTTCTAAGTGACAGTTGGACCACTAGACCTCAGGGCCGACTCAATTTCGAGCTGTGCACTCACCACCCACCTGATTTGGAAGTTTTGGGGAATGGGGGGAACCTGAATACTTGACAGTTCCTGAAGCACCGGAAAGAGCACCAGAAGGCAAGACAAGAAACAATGGATTGAAATAAGCAGAAGTTTCCTAATGGTGAGAAGAATCAACCAGTTAAATGGCTTCCCTCCAGAAGTTGCAGGTGCTCCATCACTGGAGGCTTTTAAGAAGAGACTGGACAGCCACTTGTCTGGAATGATATGGTGTCTCCTGCTTGAGCAGGAGGTTGGACTAGAAGACCTCCAAGGTCCCTTCCAAGTCTTATTCTGCTAGCACAGCTTAGTCATTCCCACAAAGAAGCACCTTTGGCAATTTCTTCCCCATTGATGTCTCCAGCCAGGACTTTTCAGTCAAATCACTCTTCCAGGTCATGCCCCAACTGTTGCTAGAACAGGTGTGACCGTGAGCACCATGCCCCTCCCTGAGCAGGTAAGGGCTTCTATCTCATTATAGAGGCCAAGGTTAGAAGGTAAACAACCCAGCAGAAAATATGCAGTATCAACTGTTCCAATAAATGTCTGAAGAATTTGGCAGCTGCTGAACCATCCCAATAAAAATAATTTATCAGCTTCCTAACCCTTCCCAAGTATCTCTTTGAAAGCAAAGGTGAGAACACATCAGGGAGGGACCAAAGGGCAGGGGCAGGACTTCACCTTGCCAAAGGTGAATTCCAGAGACTTTCAGACTCAACGCCAAGCAGCCAAGGATCAGATGCGCAAATGCCTGGGCCAACTGTGGCCACTGCTGACAGCAGCTGAGCCGGGTCACGTACAGAGCTGGAAGCAACTTCTTGACCCGCTGCTGCTCCACTCTGGCCTTTGGTGGCTCTTGACGCCCAGCTAGATCCCCTATTAGCCGTGGACAGACTGTCCTCCTGCAGCAGCAGCTCCTCCACCCCCATGGAAGTGCTGCCCCCTTGCGGCCCATGGGGAACTGCTAATTTAGACCAGGTGAAAGTGCTAGGGAGAAGGTCTACCTACAGAAGCAGCTGCCTGGGACAAGCTTTTCATTGTTCCAATTCAATCCTCTTACCTACTTTGTTTCCCATCAGTTCTCATACAGGCCACTTGCCCTGTTCTGATGCAGGAAACTCCTATTCCCCAAGAAAACACCTGCCTACTGCCTCTCTGCATGAGTCACCGTAGCTCCCAGTCCATCTGGGTTAACTGGAAGAGAACTTGGAAAATGGGAAACAGGTTCTGTTGGTTGAAATCTGAACATCTGAGGAATCAAAGGGCAGCCTTTGGAGCCCTCAAGAGCCACAGAGGTTGGCCGGCAGGGCACACACACACACACACAGTCACAACACCCCTCTCTATCACTCCTTTGCACTTACCCTGCTTCCAGACCCACTGCAGGTTGCTGGTTACCTGTCACTTAATCCTTAGAAAATTGAGAATTCCTGGGCTCCACAGGCTGCAGCAGGTGATCCCCATGTTTAGACTGTCAGAGGGCCACCATTCCCAGGAAGCACACTGGGGAGGCTGCCTGGTATGTCTACCATCTCGGCCTACCTTGCATGAAGGAAGTACTTAAGAATGGAGGAGTCATCAAGAGAGGAAAAACGGTCACATGTTTTCTGATTCTTATAAATAAAGGGGAATACAAAACTAGGTGGGACACGGAGTCCAGGTGTCAATGGAAACATTTGCAACAGGTTGATGCTTACAGGTCTCAGGTTAGGAATCAGGGGCTCTGGTGTCTGACAGAAGAGCCCCCCAAACTGTGCGCCAACTGGCAGAAGGAAGCCTTTAGGGTGAACCTGGTTAGGGTCTTGAGTGCCAGTTAGCTTGTGGTTAGCCCCTTTAGGGGGCCACTAGACAGGGGAGGAAGGCACTCTGGGAAGAGAGCGCTTGTTTAAACAATCTCTCTGAAGACAGGAAGAAGAAAATGGGTCAGGTGATCAAAGGACAAAGTCAGGGAGGAAAATTCTGGGGAGGGGGGGATTCTGCTTCCAGCAGGGGAGGGGAATTCCTTTAGGTTGAACCAAGGGAAGTAATTCCTTTCCTGGAGAGGGAGAAAACGTCCGTGTGGTAGTGCCGTCTGGCACTTTGGGCCTGCTGCATTGGGGCACCCAGAGTCTTGTTCAATCAAATGATTATTTGAGTTATCAAAAAAAGGCATGAAACGGCTTTACAAAACTGCACCATTTATTAACCCTCTCAGGGTCGGGAGTGTGTCTCAGTACAGCCACCACAAGCTGCAGCTCAGAGCCAGCAGGATTTCCCCCTCAATGAGAGGGAGAGCTTCCCAGACTGAAGCCAGTTCTCTTCTGAGGAAAAAGAAGAAAGCGGAGTCCTACGGAAGACACCGAGAAACTCAAGGCAGAAGAGGGTGGAACATTATTTCAGAAAGGAAGAACAACGCGAGACGCCAGGGAGGAGGAGAAGGAGGAGGAGGAGGAGGAGGAGGAGGAGGAGGAGGAGGGCCTCTAAGGATTGCTGACAGCCAACGGGGGCCCCTTCCCTGCCCCAGTTGAAATCCTCATCAGCCCAGTTCTGAGGCAGCCAGCAAGTCAAGGAGAGGGAAAGAGCATCACTTGTACATCCAGAGGAAATCTGAATCCCTTTCCCTTCATGGTATTTTTTTTTTAGAAGAATCTCTACAAAAGAGAGAGAGAGAGAGAGACTCGCTTGTTTTTCAGCTGCTCACAAAAAGAGTAATTTATTCAAAAGGTTGCCACGTGCCACGAGTGGGGGAGAGGAGAGGGCTTGCCAGGGCTCCAAGGCTCATGTTCACCTGCGGGCATCTTCCTGGGAACAGGGGGGGCAGCGGATGCATGCAGAGGCCCACCAGGAGGGGGCAGCAGATTCACCTGGAGCTCCACTGGAGCAAATGCGTCACAGAGTAATGTCTGCAAGGCCTGTAGAAAGACAGGGGAGAATTTGGGGCTTTCACAGTTTTTTAAACAGAAAAATCTGTTTCCCAAAACCCATCAAGAAGCAAAGTAACAGAAAAGTGTCTGTAATCTGGGTGAACTTTTTTGGCCCTCAGGTTCCCCTAGAAGCCCATCAAACTCTCGCAGAACCTCCCGGTTCCTCCCAATGCAATCCGAAAACCCTCATGTAAGCAGGACACTTGCAGGGACCACCACGGTGGGCTGACCTTAGAAGGCAGCTTTTGCAAGGAGACTCACAGGTAGATGCTGGGTCTGAGAGGAAACGGCTGAGATTGTCCACTGGGCTCTGGACAGCCGCTCCTCGTGAGCAGACCGCCCTTTTAAAGGTTGGCTTACGAGTGGAGTGGCTGGGAGCTGGGGCTACATCAGGCTCACACTTGCAGATCCTGATATCTTAATCACCCCATTGCATTATTTTATTTTTTGTGTATTGGAGCTATTTGACCAGCAAGGTGTTACTGTATTCATTGGATAAGTTTCTGTGTCCTTAAAAGAGATGGTATAAATTTGATTTTAAATGTTTTAAAAATATGATTTTAGGACTATGAAGCAAAAGGATGCTTAGTATATGGATTTTGAAAAGTTAACGACGGATTAAGAGGTCAGAGGGATTTGGAATTATAGCTTTGAATTATTTAGAAGATATTTTTTCAAGGTGAATGGAGATTGCTTTTTTTTTAATGTTAAGGAGACCTTGAAAACTGGGCACTGGAGCCAGAGGGTAAAGAAAACAGAGTTGAAATCCTTAGTGCAAACTACGGAATACCTTAGTATAAATTTTTGAATAGTGCAAGCTTTTGGACAAAATGGATGGAATACACGATGAAATTGATAGAGCACGTCCTTATGAAGTTGTAAGACAGGAATGAGCTGCAATGGATGGCAATGAAATTAAATTGAAGGGGGATTTAAATGTAATACAAATGAATATGATAGATGACTTATTCCCTAAAGGAGATGAATAGATATTAAACCAGGAAGCTGATTTAGTTAAATTTTTTCTTCTGGATATACAAAAGAGCTCTGCTAAAATTTGGAAGGGCTTTTTTTGACAACAAAAGGATAAATTTTACTTGTTGATACAAAAGAAATCTGTTCTGAAGAATTATTGCTTTGAAACAGATGATCACAAATTACCTCTGGGCCTCTTTTGGAATGGTTTAAAGGTTTTTTTAAAGTATTTAAATAAGGTTTGTAAGATTGGCTTGTTCAACCAGAGTTAAAAGAAGTAGTTATATTTGCCTTTATTGGACTTTTGCTGACAAAACATTGACATGCCATTTTACTTTGTTTTCTTTACCTAAGGGATGAGTTATGGGATGAAGAGAGATTATTTTGAGACAGTCACAGCTAATAAAATTACTTTTACCTGCTGAGATGAAGGGGAAAGCTGCTTCTTTTTTTATGTCTCTCTTTTCCCTTTTCTTTTATTTTTCTATATATTTAATAGTTATATTGATTTTTTTTCTTTTCATTTATAACTCTTAATAAACATTTGGAAAAAATCTTGACTCTAAGCCAAGACACATGTGGACCAACTGCCTCCAGGCAGAGCAACAAGCAACAAGTGTGTTTTCCCAAACGGTCCAGCCATGTACGAGTCCTTTGAGCTCTGAAGCAAGAGACGAGAGAGAGGAACATACCTAAATTCTGGGAATCCTTGATAGCCCAGCACAGGCTGTAATGTTGCATGAGCTGCTCAAATGGTTCCTTCTCATCCAGGAACTCAAGTGCCTCTATCCTGGAAGGAAGGAGGATGACAAGACAGGTGATAGCAGACACAAGCTGTACTTAAGAGAGGAAGGAGCTACCAGGATGGACTAGAGCCAGGGTCAAATTCCTAGCTAGGTCCAGAGCTCACAGGGCAGCTTTGAGCCAGGCTTCCTGACACATATCAGCCCAACCAAAATTCAAGACTCTGATGGGAGTCAGAAGTTTCAGGACTTCTAGGGGGGCCAGTCCAAGGAGCCCAACAGAGGAGCCTGGTGGTTTCTCTGAACTGCTGTATCACAATCTGTGAGTTGGCGAGCCGTATTAATAGAACAGGTAACCAAAAATTGTGAAATTTGGTTTCCACTCAAAACCTATTCTTAAGTTTTATACTACAGTATCTTATTCCATCACAGTTTTTGAATGACAACTAAGAATGGGTAATTGACATGCCCTCTGTGAGGGCCACAGAGTACCATTAAACCAACATAGCCAAAGTTTTGCTCAATAAAGCCCAGCCTGTGTTAAGACATTTTAAATTGGGGTTCAAAGGAAGCCCTTAAGACACCCCCCCCCCAACATTGCTGTATTTACCAAAAACCTGGGTCAAAGTTTTATACTAGTTTTGTTCCTTTTTCTACCAGCATTTTCAGGTTTCAGTTCCTCGCCAAAGTGGGTAGCTGACATGATTGTGTGTTATGCTACAGAGCACCCCAAAATCAGTTTGGCCCCATTGATCATTTTTGTTATTTTAAAATATCAAGCTTGCACGGTATACAGGGTTTTAGCTATAAAAGCTCACTATAAAAAACTGGCATGTGATCAGACTGAAAGTCATTAAAATGTATTTCAACAGCTTGAGACCGATTTAATTAAAATACAGTATTTTCAGTTATACTATATTAAGTGTAAACTTAATTAACTGATTACAAAGTAATGCAGTTCAATTTATAAAACCACCGTTATCCTTTTCCTCTTTTATATTAGGTGGGCACAAAGTAGCTTTTCAGATGCTTACCTTTTTAAGCATTGTACTACTGCCGTGGGCCCACAAAAGTGTTCCAGCAGAGTCAGCAGCAACTTCTTAAAACCACGCTTTCACTTTTCTGTGCTTTTAATTCCACAAGGCTATTTGTTTTGAGGCTGACAGAGACTTCCCAATCTCAGGGGTATTCCATCAGCTTCTGCCAAGTCTCACAGTTACGGTGAGACCAAGGAAAAGCCCTGGGACCATGAGACACGCCTGGAACTGACAATCTCACATATATAGCAAATCCTTTTAAAAATCTAGCAGGGCAATTTTCTGATCTGAGCCTATATGGAGTAAACCAAACATAACTTTGCAAACTCTTATGTTATAAAACTTTAAATGTGGATGAATCTAAGTTATTTGTAAAGAAGCTTGCATCATAGTATCATCATACAAAGAACATGAATTGTCTGTTAAATAGAACATAATTATGTACCTCTGTTCTGTTCTATTTAACAGACATTTGTGAATAGCAGACATCTCTGCAAATTATCCTGTTAAAACGTGTTTTCATTGTTCCTTTCTACACCAAAGGGCCAATATTTATTCATTGATAACATAATTGTAATCCCAATGTCAGATATGCAACCAAAAGGCCTTAAGAGCCAAATTTCTCCAAATAGAGCAATTGCTGTCTTTCTCCCTGACAATAAGACTAAAATTTATTTCCAGATCATGCAGTATTCATTTTTCCAACATTTCCTATTAATGTAAGAAGCATCAGTAAGAAGTATTAGTGTCAAGTCCAATATATACAGTATGACTTAGCTATATCCTGTCCATTATCATCCTTTTATCAAAATGTGCTTTACAACTCACTCGCTCTCTTATCTAAGAAACCCATCCAATGTTTTCAGTCCATTAAGAAAAATACAAATTCTGGGTTCTCCGAGTATCAGTTACCCACTTTTAGAGGAGGGAAGAGATAGAAAACCTGGGCTTGATGGAACAAACTGCAAAAAACTTTGGCAAAGGTTTTGGTTGTGGATGTGCAAACTCACCAATTCAGGAACAGAACGTTCCGTTGAACCCTGGAATGTTCCGTTCCCCCTCCAGACTTTGTCGTTCCGGGGGCAGTTTCCTGAAGTTATCAGTGAGTACTGCACATTCCTAGTTTGGGGTGAATATAACAATGTTGAGTTTTTAGATGCTGCATCTGAATCCTGATTTGACATTTTGGTACCTCTTAAACACTAGGACAACCAATTAAGGCTTACTGGAACAAAAAGTATAAAACTATTATTACACTTTGGTGCCAGCTGAGGCCATATTGGTTCTCAGGTGGTCTGCAGTTTTTGTACTCACTTTTAGGTGGGTGGCAAAACCTTGGCTTGCTGGAGCAAAATGCTACAAAACCAAAGAGTATTTCAGGATTAATTTCCACTTCACAACTCTTTGCTTATATGTAGGATACTTCAGGGCTTAGCCTGTCCTGCTTTTTAACATCTACTGTACATGGATCCACTGAGATGTTTCATCCAAGATCAAAGAATCAGCAGCATTCAGAAGAATTGGACATGCATTCTGGAGACACCCCTTGACCCATTTGTTCTCTCTGGAGACCCAGCTGAGCTCAACAGGCAGGAATGCTTTTGCTGACTGGGTTCGACACACCAATCAACCTCACCTGGCAAAAGCACACTGGTTAAGACAGGGGTCTTCAAACTTGGCCCTTTTATGACTTGTGGATTTCAACTCCCAGAATTCCTCAGCCAGAATTCCTCAGCCTGGGTTAAGACAACACTGCAGGATTCTTGTTTCCCTGTATTCTAGGTTTGGCAGTTTTAGGAAAGGGTGTTAGGTAATTTAAAAATACATCAATTTTGTAACGAATGCATCATAATTTACATGGAAGTAAATTATCTATTCAGTTCCAAATTCAGTTTCAGATGACAACCCCTGCTTTGGAACAAGGCTAGTTCAAGTACTGCAATCCCTCATTCAGTCTTATCTTGGGCCTGCAGATCAGCATCAGGCGCCTCACTCTGTGGGCTGTCCTTTCGCATGTTCAGGCTGGGAGGGCTTAAAGTCAGAGCACCTCCAACTATCTCCACCAGGCATGTGGCTGATTCAGGGCTATCTGCCATCTGTTTCTATTGCAAGCAAACATGTCAGGGGTTACCATAACATGCACTGTAGCTATCTAGTTTTGCATATAAACTATCTATTATACTGTAACTTTAAAACTGTATTATCATTATTACCATTATCAATCTGTGGTCTTGTCATCATTATCACCTCGGCTCAAACCATAGTCAGAGGAAGGCCTGTTCACTGAAGGTCACGCACAATAGCTTACTGTGCTGCTTCAGTTGCAGGTTAGCAGATATGTATTTTTTTTAAAATTTTCCAATCTAGGGCTGAGAGAGAGGGACTAGCCCGGAGTCCCCCAGGGAATTTTCTGCAGGGAATTTCCATGGCTGAGGAAAGACTAGGCCTCCCTCTTCCTAGTCCAGCACCTTCACCACTAACTATCCATTACCGAGTATTCTTGTCTTCTCTTCCCCCCCCCAAAAAAAACCCCAGTGAGGTGGGTTGGGCTGATAGTCACTGGCACAAAGCCACCTACCCAGCTGGCTTTCATGCTTAAGGCAGGATTAGAACTCACCGTCTCCTCGCTTCTAGGCCAGCACCTTCACCACTACTCCAAACTAGCTTTCGCATGCTTTATGTGAACAGATATACAAACATGCACACGCGTGTCTGTTCTCTCCTTCTCTCTCTCTGAATAAAAACAGCACAATGAGGAGCTTACCTTTTGATCTCATCTGGTGGCAAACTCTGATAGACCTTCAGCATATCTAGACCATTTACTGTTTCCCAGCCATGTTGCAGGAATCGTTCCTTCTGCGAATGAAAAGCAGTACAAAAATCTGTTAGGGGCAAATTTTCCAGGACTCAAAAAAGAAGATAAATCACTCAAAAAGTTACCTCACATTCAGCTTAATATTGTAGTTGGGCAAAATACTAGAACAGACTGCCAAGCAGTGGGTCTGAACAGGATGTTACCACGCAAAGAGTTAGCAGTCTGAAGGATCTAAGAAGGTTTAGCCTTGAAAATTCCTTTTCAATTTTCAAAAAAATCTTTTTTTTAACCTTTAAACTTCTGAAAGGATGTCACAAAGAAAACAATCAAGACCTGCTCTCGATCTTTCTCAATAATGAATACATAATGGATAAAATAATGGATAAAACTTCCAGGAAAGTAAAACCTGGTTGAACATCATGAAAAATCTTCTCACAGAAGGAAGAGTTCAACAAGAAGTAGCATTTAAGGAAGTGCTGAAATGGCACCTCTCAGGGATACGGTCAGTTTAGATTCCTGCTCTCCCTCTTTGCAGGGAGTTAGACTCAGTGGTTTAAATGGCCCTGACCAACTCTATAGTTCTAAAGACAAAAACAGTGCAGCTCTCGGACTAAGAAGGCCACAAGGCCAGTCAGCTGGATTTTGTATAATATCAGCATGAGCAATCCCCTTTCCTCAAGTGTGGCACTTCTCCAAAACAAGGCCTATTACGGCAAGGGCCCCCAACCTTTTGGGCGTCAGGGACTGGTTCTCTGGGCTGGGAGGGGCATGGTTTTGTGTGCTGCCTGGATCCTGTGCATGCACGGATGGGGCTTCCCTCGCTTGTGCAGCCCGGTTTCTGGCAGGCCATGGACCGACCCAGGGGTTGGGGACTCCTGTGTTATGGGATGGAGCATGCAGGGCAAAGTACTCGGTGAAGTTGGGACCTGAATGCAGGCATTAGAGTTTGGGCAAAGCCCTCTTCTTTTATTGGAAGTTTACCAAGCTGAGTCCCATTGTCCAGGAAATCTGACCTGGGACTCCAGAGATCTGCAAGCATCTGCACCAACCAGCTCACACTGCTTGCTCTGCAAGTTGTCAATCATGATCTGTCCAAAGCGGTCCGCCATATTCACCTGGAAAGGACACAAGAACGGTACTTGCTGTCTCTCCATTTAGAGCACAAATGCACAAATGAGCATCTACCCTGTTTCCCCGAATATAAGACCTACCCAGAAAATAAGCCTTAGCCTGGTTTTTTGGCTTGCGCCTAACATAAGCCCTACCCCCAAAATAAGCCCTACTTAAGAGCCGCCCACTCCATCCCACCATCTGGTTGCTCATGGTTGCAATGGGGCAGGAGAGCACGCATCACACCGGTGCCATGGCCACGAGGTGAGGCAAGGCAGGTGGGGGGTGAAGCTGCCCCATGCATCCTGCCCCGCTTACCTCAGGGCTCCCGCAGCCAGGCCACTTCCCACTTGGCAACCTACCTGCCCGTCCAACGACCCGGCTGCCCACCCGCCTCTTCTCTTTCACTCCTCTCCCAAGCCGAAAGAGCCCCCCTCTCAGTCTCCAGAGCTGCCACCATTGAAACCATACAATACAGGCGGCAAACGGGGAGCAGGCAGTGCAACGAAACACAACGCAGTGATACAGGACCCAAGTGGCAGGGAAGGCAGCTGCAGGTGATTTGCAGGGGGGGGGCAGGGTCAGCAGGGACAGAAGAAAGCCCCTCCAGCGGTGGACGTGGCTGATGCGCAGTGGCAGCCGAGGCCTTTCGCCACCACTCCCCCTGGCTCCAAAATGGCAGAGGGGGGCCAGCTAAAGCAGCCGAGCCTCCCCTGCCCATGCTCCACAGCATGGCAGTCCGGCTCGGGAGCGGAGTGAAAGGGAAGAGGCGGGGGGGCAGCCGGGTCATCGAACAGGCGGGGGAGAGGTCACCAAGCAGGGAGCGGCCTGCCTGCGGGGGCCCTGAGGTAAGTCGGTGTGGGGCATGTGGGGCAGCTCCACCCCCCCTCCTGCCTCGCCTCACCTGGTGGCAGTGGCACCGATGCAACGTGCGCTCTCCTGCCCCGTTGCGACCACAAGCAACCAGATGGTGGGATGGAGTGGGCAGACGGCCGCAAAGTCAGACATCCCCCAAAAATAAGCCCTAAAGGGTCTTTTGGTCAAAAATATATATAAGACCCGGTCTTATTTTTGGGGAAACACATTAAGAGACTCTACCTGCTTCACCAACAATCTGGAAAACTGTTGGGCTTTGGGATTCACTTCTCTGAAATTCAATAGAATGCCTCAAGCTTTTCAGGTTTCAGTGTAAACCCAAAAAGGCATTACAGAGCCGACTTGCTAAATTGAAGACAACTCTTAAAAGAGCAGCAGTTTTCAGCTCCATGTGGAACCCTGGAACTCCTGGCTGCTCCAGCAAGTGGTAGAAAGATGCAGTCTTCATACGACATTCAAGGTGTCCATAATCCTGCTACACATGTATCTTTTTAATCTCTGCCCAGAACCTCCCTTTCATTCTTAGATGCACTCCTAGAAACCAGATTCTCACAACTCCCAGCTGGAAATAGCAAATGCACTGGGCACTCCGATAGCAGGTATCGAACTAGTAGTGACAGTTCTCCTAGACTTGTGATTTAAAGCAACAGCAATATGCAACGAGGGCCTTTGCACCAGAGCTTCCTGCTAGGT